ATGCGCCTCGCACGCGGGCAGCAGATGTAGGAAGCTGGCAAACTGCGCGGGCGTGCTTGCGTACATGAGCTGCTGCTCGTGGTGTGAATGTGTGCGTGCTGTGTGCTTGCGTACAGGAGCAGCTGGGCATGTTGATGGGGCTGTACATGGTGCTGCTGGTGTGAACTTGTGTGTGGTGTGTGTGTGCGCTGACGTTTGATTTGTTTTTCATACAGGAGCTGAAAGGGAAACGGCAAGGCTGAAGTCAGGGGCTACATCTCCCTCCTTTCTTTGATTTTCTGCAAGATCAGAGGTAACTTGATTACTAGTAAAACCAAATGTTCCTCGTATGTACTGCTTGACTGATGATGTGCATGCTGAGTTGTTTTTGTTAAAGTAATACCATTTGTAATTGATGAAGTAATGTCATTTGTACCATTGCATTGTAGATGGACAAAAAAACAAAGATGTTAATTTGTGCGGCGGCAGCACAATGGTTTATCAATATGATAGCTTTAGTTGTCCAATCTAGAAAAAGAAAAAGGAGAGAGGCAATTACATATGCCCCAATTGATGAGAGAGATAGGATGAGAAGAGAGTACTTTGATAACAAAGGATGGAAGAATGACACAACTTGTGTGAACATGCTTAAGCTTCGGAGAGCTCCTTTCTTTCGGTTTTGTCAACTATTTAGAGATCGCAATTTGCTAAAGGACACAATCCATATGTCCATTGAGCAGCAAGTAGCAATGTTTTTGCACACTGTTGGTCACAATGTTCGGAATAGAGTAATTGGTGGGAATTTTGGTAGATCTGGTGAAGTTGTTAGCCGCTATTTTAAAAAAGTACTCCATGCAATTGGTGAGCTTCGAGATGAACTTATTAGGAAGCCTTCAGTGGGGACCCAAAAGAAAATAGAAGGAAACCATCGGTGGGATCCATACTTTAAGGTATGACACCGAGTGACAACTACATTTTGTCAGTGTAGGCACAAATCTGTTTAGATCCTAATTTTTTGTTTTTATTTCCACTTAATAGGATTGTATTGGAGCTATTGATGGTACACATGTACGTGCCTCTGTTACACCTGATACGGAGGCTGCCTTTCATGGTAGAAAGAAATATACTACTCAAAATGTGATGGCGGCTGTTGATTTTGACCTTCGATTCACATATGTGTTGGCCGGTTGGGAGGGGACAGCACATGATGATGTAGTTTTACGCGATGCTTTAGGACGTGAAAATGGTCTACGTGTCCCACAAGGTAATAGATTAACCATGTAGATACATGTCGTCAATGGGATTTTGATATATATGTAAGTAACCCAAATGCTCCTCGTGTTTAGGAAAATTTTATCTAGTTGATGCCGGATATGGAGCCAAACCAGGCTTCTTGCCTCCTTTTCATGGCGTGAGGTTTTAAATGATGGCATTGATGAATATATCATACCCGAGGATGAATGGGTGGCCAATATCACTCATGCTTCATCATCAACTGGCCAAGCACAAGAACATGCATACATGGCTAATTTTAGGCAAGGACTTGCTGATCAAATGTGGGAAGACCGACAAAACTATTTGCAGTATCAAAACATGTAGTAGCTACCATGTCATTCAAATGTGGGAAGAACTATTGTACTTTATTTGAACTATGTGTTTGTGGGAATTTCATTGTAATGACATATTACTTGTTGTAATGACATACTATTATTGTTGAGTTGCTTATTTTCTCTCCAAGTACTCACTGAGATTTAATTCTTTATGTTGAAATATTTGCTGAATTGCTTCTTTCTTTCCAAGTACCTGCTGAAATTTAATCTTTATGTTGAAATACTTGCTGAAATTCAATTCTTTATGTTGAAATACTTACAGAATTGCTTCTTTCTATTCGAATACATGTCCAATTTAATTCTTTATGTTGAAATTGGTTGCTGATTTGGTTCTTTCTCTCCAAATACTTGCTGATATGCTTGGTGAAATTGTAGGATATGGCTGCTAGGCAAATCTCATGGACACCTACCATGTCATCGTACATGCTAGCCCATCTATGTGGTTTGGTGACTGGTGGCCATAGACCAGGTACCTCCTTCAAGAATGTCCACTGGAATGGTTGTGCCGCTGCTATGAATGAACATTTTCAGCGCACTGACTTTGAAAGATCGTGGATGTCGCCTAGAGGGGGGGTGAATAGGCGCTCTTAAAATAATTATGGTTTAGGCTTGAACAAATGCGGAATAAACCTAGCGGTTAATTTGTCAAGCACAAAACCTACAACAACTAGACTCACCTATGTGCACCAACAACTTATGCTAAGCAAGATAAACTACTAGGTGATAGCAAGATATATGACAAGAAACAATATAGCTATCACAAAGTAAAGTGCATAAGTAAAGAGCTCGGGTAAGAGATAACCGAGGCACGCGGAGACGATGATGTATCTCGAAGTTCACACCCTTGCGGATGCTAATCTCCATTTGGAGCGGTGTGGAGGCACAATGCTCCCCAAGAAGCCACTAGGGCCACCATAATCTCCTCACGCCCTCGCACAATGCAAGATGCCGTGATTCCACTAAGGGACCCTTGAGGGTGGTCACCGAACCCGTACAAATGGCAACCCTTGGGGGTGGTCACCGAACTCGTACACTTTGGCAACCCTTGGGGGCGGTCACCGAAACCCGTCAAATTGCTCGGGGCGATCTCCACAACCTAATTGGAGACCCCGACGCTTACCCGGAGTTTTACACCACAATGATTGAGCTTCGAACACCAACAACCGTCTAGGGCGCCCAAGCACCCAAGAGGAACAAGCTCAAGGGTACCAAGCACCCAAGAGTAATAAGCTTCTCAACTTGTAACTTCCACGTATCACCGTGGAGAACTCAAACCGATGCACCAAATGCAATGGCAAGGGCACACGGAGTGCCCAAGTCCTTCTCTCTCAAATCCCACCGAAGCAACTAATGCTAGGGAGGAAAATGAGAGGAAGAACAAGAAAGAGAACACAAAGAACTCCAAGATCTAGATCCAAGGGGTTCCCCTCACATAGAGGAGAAAGTGATTGGTGGAAATGTGGGTCTAGATCTCCTCTCTCTTTTCCCTCAAAAACTAGCAAGAAACCATGGAGGGATTGAGAGTTAGCAAGCTCAAAGAAGGTCAACAATGGGGGAAGAACACGAGCTCAAAAGATTGGGTTCATAGGGGAAGAAGACCCCCTTTTATAGGAGGAGGGAAATTCAACCGTTATGTGCTCAGCCCGCACACGAGCGGTACTACCGCTCCTGGTCCCGGTACAACCGGGACTCACAGTATACGTGCAGAACCCTACCAGGCAGTACAACCGGGCGACCAGGCGGTAGCACCGGTTGAGAAGAACAACCAGAGCAACCGCCCAGCCACCGCTCAACCACCGCATAGGAACAGAAGGGAGTCACCCCTGAGTGCGGTAGTCGAGCGGTACCGGGCCGGTGCAACCGCATGGCCTTGAGCGCTCGAGCGCTAAGTCCTGAGCAGTAGAACCGCTCCGTACACCGGTGGTACCGGTACGACCGGACCAACCGGGCCACCACCGCCCGAGTACCGCATCAAAACAGAGGCTTGGCCGGTACTTGGGCGGTGCCTGGCCGGAACAACCGCCCAAGACTTTGCTGAGCAAGTTGGCGGTACCACCGCCCGGAAGCAGCGGTACAACGGCTGAGAGCTCCAAGCGGTACTACCGCAGGGGCTTGTGGTACTACCGCTGGGACCAGACAAAAACCACTTCCAAGAAAACAAGAACTGCCATAACTTCTGCATATGAGCTCCGAATTGAGCAAACTCAAGCTTGTTGGAAACAAGACGATGAGTAGCATCAAAACAGCGACTAGTAATAGTAAGAAGAGGCAGGGGAGGTATGCCTAACAAAAAGAGGAGTCAAACCTCCAAGCGAGAAGAATCGGCAAAACTTCCAACATCGAAAACATCATAGAAGATGCATGTGAACTCCGTTTTCGATGAACTCAAGCTTGTCATCAAGATGACCATAAGCTCTAAGACTCACAAAGAGAACCAAACAAGAACCAAGAAAGATGATGCAAGGATGCAATGGTTTGAGCTCTCTATGAACGATACGATCAAGATACTCATCGAGAGCCCCCCTTGATAGTACGGCAATCGATCCTATAACCTGGTCTCCCAGCTACCATCATGAGACCGGTAAAATAGAAAACCTATCAAGGGAAAACCTTTGCCTTGCACATGGTCCACTTGAGCTAGATGATGACAATCTTGACTCCCTCAAGTTGGACCACCTTTCTTGATTGTGTTGACTCGATGAAGACTAGTTGATTGCTCCCCCATACTCCACTATGGGTGAGCCACTCTTCCGCACATCTTCACAAGTCCATTATCACCACAAAGGACGGCAAGCTTCAAGCATTTGATCTCTTCGTGATGCTCCATTTGAACTTGCACACCGCAACCTAACCCCACAAAGAACTCTCACGAAGACCATGGGTTAGTACACAAAGCGTAATTGACAATTCTTACCGTACCATGGGATCACTTGATACCTCTCGGTACATCTTCTACGCTTTGTGAGTTGATCAACTTGATTCACTCTTGACTTAGTCTTGATCAACCTTGAACCTTTCCAATTCTCTTCATTTGAATGATGTCTTGAAGGTAGACATGAATGATCACACAATCTTCTTCTTCAAGACATGCTTGCAATAAGCTCAACTCTCACATGACCAATCTTTGGATAATTCCTTGAATAACACCTTGGTCGACACAAACTCTCCTTGAAATCAACACATGCACTCCAAGAAAAGCCTATGGACAAAACCTTCAAATATAACTCAAGGAAACCATTAGTCCATAGAGATTGTCATCAATTACCAAAACCAAACATGGGGGCACCGCATGTTCTTTCAGACTTGATTGGAACCCACATCACAAATCACACAAGGACGTGAAAAAGGAAGTATAAGCAGATAGTGCACCTCAAATCATTGAGTGGTGCACTTTGGGATGAAGATAACTTTATGATTGTTCTTGATCATGAGCATTACACAAACCATATTAAGGTATCTATTTTTCTGCCCTTTAGTACTTGCTAGAATTGGTTCATTTGTCCAAAATACTTGTTGAAATGAGCTTTATAATGAAAAATAGTTGTTGAAATTGGTTCCATATCTCCTAGTACTTGCCGTAATGATTTCTTTCATGCACTATCACTTGCTGGAACTTTTTTACACTCCATTTCCTTGCTGGAATGAGTACTTTTATAGACCAATTCTTGCTGAAATAAGTTCTTTTATGCATTACCACTTGCTGGACCTTATGTATACTCCATGCTAGTTGCTGAAATGAGCTTTTATAGCCAAATTCTTGCTGAAATGAGTTCTTTCATGCATTATAACTTGCTAGAATTTATTTATACTCACATTCCTTGCTGAAATGATTACTTTTGTTTACAAAGGACCACAAAGAAGATGAACCCTTCCTGAACAAGCCTATTAAACATTATGAGGAGATGCTGGTTATTGTTGGAGCAGGCATGGCTACGGGGCAATATGCAAAAGGCTCAAGTGACCCTTTAGCGACGAAGGTGATTGATCTTGAAGAACAGAAAACCAACAAAGCCGCTGCCTCGAATGAAGAGGTTGCCCAATCACACACTTGTGATGAGTCAGCCGCTCCCAAGTTGAAGAAAGCCAAAACTAATCCTTTTGCAGAAGATAGGATGGTTGCAACCATAATGGCTTCAAGTGAAAGGATTGCTGTTGCCATTGAGAAACTTGCTAGCGACGTCAACCCCGCCATTGATGGTCTTTGGGATGAGATGAAAGAACTCCCTGGCTTTGATGTGGATTCCCTTGCACATTACTATGCCTATTTGGTTGACAATCCTCGTGTTGCAACGGCATTCAAGGTCCTGGGGGGTGTTCAAAGAAAGGTTTGGGTCTCTAGGTATGTGAAGAGTACCTTTCCTGAAGCTGAAGCATGCTGATCTTATATGGGTGTTTAACTTTATGCTTTTGATGACAACCAACAATGGAGCTATGGGTTGTATGGACTTGTTCTTTTGATTACAACCAAAACATTGAACTATGCATGGGTTGTATAACTATATAGATTTGATCTACTACTATATGGAATGTCGAACTATGTGCTCTATGCACTTGTGTTTTATATATGGAAATGTTGAACTATGATGTGTATTGAAGTTAACATTTAGCTTGTACCACTGATGAGTTTGTTTGGGTATGATTGCTTCTTTCTACAATGTTTTTGTATCATATTTGATTGCCTCATATTGAAAAATGGGCTAGCCTCACCCACCAACCAAACAGAAAAATGGCTATCCCCAACCATTATTCATCCTTCTAACCAAACAAAATATGGGCTAACTTTATCCACACAACCAAACAGAAAAATTGGCTATCCCTATCCAACTGGATAGGGATGCCCATATCCACCTTAACATCTCCCTCTAACCAAACACATCCTAAGGGTACACCCAAATCCACCTCGTTTCGGCCGAAAGCAGCACCAAGATCCGAGCGTGGCAGAGTTCGTCGCAGGACACACAGCCCGGGTGGCCACGACGAACCTGGCCGAAATCACTGTTCTGACCTTGTGAGCAATCTTTGTCACAAACTAAACTCGACATGAAAGTATTTCACGATCTAACCCTTTTAGCAACGCCACAGTCCGCGGTGTTGCCGCCCAACATAGAAACGCCGAGCAAGTTTGTGTTTCTGCTCCACATGGAAACGCCAAGCTAGCTAGCGTTACTGCCCAGGCCGAGCTGGCGTCGCTCGCTGACATGGCACGCTGGAAACGCCAGAGCTGTTGGTGTTTCTAGCTTGACTACAAACGCCCGGGGCCATGGCGTTTCTGGCATTGATACGCTGCAAACAAAGTGCCTTGTAGGCTAGGGTATAGGCTGGTGGACATGCATGCTTGCACGGGCTGCTAACGATGCGCTGCACCACAATCTACTTCCTGCAAGCTAGCTATAGGCTGGTGGACATGCATGCTTGGAAGGGCTGCTAACAATGTGATGCACCACAATCTACTTCTTGCATGCAAGGCTATAGACTGGTGGACATGCATGCTTGCACAGGTTGCTACAATGGCGTTTCTAGATGGAAATGCCAAAGGCCATGCATGGACGTAGCAGCACTCCTGTCCAAGGCATCATGCATGCATGCATGTACTTTGGGGGATATCCATCTTTAATTTTTTTTTGAACTGATCCATCTTTAATTTGTACTAGTGGCATGCGTTGCATGCATGCATGTACTGCTGTGCAGTTTTCCCCGATCCTGCGTAATCTTTTTGTGTACCACGCAAGGGATGGAACAGCTACTTTTCCTGATCCTAAAAATAAAAATTATGTAGCACGCAAGGGATGGATACAGCAGCAAAATGATTTGTTGAGAAGATGATCAGCAAGGAAATACGCCAAAAGCTATGCTGCGCTGTTAAACAAATTAGGGTTTGAAACAATGCTCGATACCCTAAGCGGGTACGGCTGTCATGTATATATAGAAGAGAACGTACAGGTACATGTATTGTGTTACAACATGTAATATCTATAATATACCTAGTCTAACACCCTCCCTCAATCTTAACTATGTCCTGAAACACTCAGGAGGTTAAGATTGCGTCAGCATCCTTCAAAAGAAGGTAAGGGCAAGGGTTTAGTGAAAATGTCAGCAAGCTGATCCTTAAAAGAAACAAATTTGATCTGAAGTAGCTTCTGTGCAACACGTTCTCTCACAAAATGATAGTCAACTTCGATGGGTTTCGTTCGGGCATGAAATACCGGATTGGATGAAAGATATGTAGCACCGATGTTATCACACCAAAGAACAGGCGACTGGACTTGAGAGACCTTCAACTCTCGAAGCAATGACTGCACCCATATGATCTCAGCTATGGCGTTAGCAACTGCTTTGTACTCAGCTTCAGTGCTACTCCGAGACACGGTAGCTTGCTTGCGAGCTTGCCAGGCGATCAAGTTAGGACCAAGAAACACAGCATGTCCCCCCGTGGATCGCCTATCATCGGGACTACCAGCCCAATCAGCATCAGAGAAGGCTGAGATCAAACCAGAAGCCGCAGGCTGCAGATGTAGACCATATGAAACAGTGTGTCGAACATAGCGCAGAATGCGCTTAACCGCCGTCCAATGAGGACCACGCGGTGCATGAAGGTACTGACACACACGGTTAACTGCGAATGATATATCCGGTCGAGTGACGAGCAAGTATTGCAGTCCACCAACGATGTTGCGGTACTCAGTGGCATCCTCAGAGGAGAGCAAGTCCCCATCAAAAGCTGACAATTTGTCTGTGGAGGACATAGGAGTTGTAGCAGTTTTACACTGCATCATACCCGCACGTCGTAACAAATCCTAAGAGTACTTCTGCTGAGTGAGAGTCAAGCCACTGTCAGAATGAAGAACCTCCAGGCCCAAAAAATAGTGCAGTCTCCCAAGATCCTTAACAACAAAAATAGCCCCTAGAGAAGCCACAGGTCGATCTGCAGCAGTGACGGACGAACTGACAAGTATGATGTCATCAACATAGACCAGAATGTACATAGTCACCTCAGGTCGCTGAAGAATGAACAGAGATGTGTCTGCTGTAGACGGTATAAACCCATGTGCACGAAGAGCGGCGCCAAGACGTGCATGCCACGCACGAGGAGCCTGCTTCAAACCATAGAGAGCCTTGTCGAGGCGACACAAATGATGTGGTTGAGCAGGGTCAACAAAACCTGGTGGCTGGCGCATATATACCTCTTCTTCCAGAACTCCATGAAGAAAGGCATTCTGGACATCGAGCTGACGAAGCGACCATCCTCGAGTAACAGCCAGCGAAAGAAGAACACGAATAGTCATGGGTTTGATAATAGGACTAAACGTATCTTCATAATCAAGGCCATACTTTTGTTTAAACCCCTTGGCAACCAATCTTGCCTTGTACCTCTCAATGAATCCGTCGGCATGTTTCTTCACCTTGAACACCCATTTAGAGTCAATAATATTGACACCAGAGGGAGGTGGAACCAGGCGCCAGGTATTATTCTTTCGAAGAGCATGGATCTCCTGTTCCATAGCAGCGCGCCAGTGTGGAATGCCAAGCGCTGCCTGAAAATGGCGCGGTTCCGCCGTAGGATCAGCCTCAGCACGAGCAACACAGGCCGCAAGCCATGCGACGGTACCATCCATGCGCTGGAGAGGCTTGAAGATGCCACTCTTGCTGCGCGTATGAGGGCGAAGTGTGACAGGCGGCGGAGGTGTCGGAGAAGCCGCCGCAGCAAAAGAGCCAACGTCGAGGAGCGGCGCGGAAGACACACCAGCAGGCGAGTCCATGCACTCTGCCGAGGGGGAGTCCACAGGCGCTACTGGGCCTGGGTGGCCGGCGAAGACAGGCCGGGCGAGGGCGGCAGCACTGCAGTAGCAGTCGGACTATGCGAGGCTGCAGCCTCACCCGATGCATGTGCATGGGGCATGCACGTAGCCTCACCCGATGCACGTGCATGGGGCACACATGTACGGGCAGTCGGCTCACCCAATGCATGTGCATGGGGCATGCACGTACGGGCAGCCGGGCTAGGTGAGGCGGCCGCTCCACCTGATCCAGGTGCATGAGGCACGCACGTGCTGTCGACGTCGAGCTCCCCGTCAGGCGACCCAACCGGTGTAACGGTTGCAGTTGGTGCAGCGGCAACCACGTCATCGTGAAGAAGCTCAAGGCGAGCGTCCCGTTCAGTTCCTGCACCGTGGTTAGGTAACAACAGAGGAGAGTATGAAGCATCTACAAATTGATCAGGCAAAACTGGAAAGGAGTGCAGCTCGGTAGCGGTAGTATCAGTGGATGGTGAGAGTGTGGAAAAAGGGAAAACAGCCTCATCGAACACAACATCACGGGAAATGTAAACACGATTTGTCGGAATGTGAAGACACTTGTAACCTTTGTGAAGAGGACTGTACCCGAGAAACACACACTTCTTAGAGCGAAACTCGAGTTTGTGCTTATTGTACGGACGGAGATGCGGCCAGTGGCGGAGCTAGCGAATTCCCAAAGCCTGGGCACGATATAAACTAAAGTGTACTTTGGTCTATCAAACCGCCAACACACTAGTGTCACTAAATAATATGCTCAATTATGTAGTTGAACAAACATAGTTGGAGTCGGATAACTCACCTAGTTGTCGTTTGCCGCTGCCATTGGTGGCCCTCGCCGTTGGCTGTTTGCTGTCTCTTGGCCATGGCCTTGCACAGGTTGGGCATTTGCTGGCGCTGCACGCGTGATTAGTGCTCGCTGAAGTGCCCACGATGATGAGGACGAGCCACCATCCGTCAGAGGAGAATTCACATCACAGGGGATGCCGCTTTGACTCCTGCGCTTTCGCTTCAGATCCCGATTGTTACTTGGTGGAATCGTAGCCTAATTGGAGGCTCGGTCGTGCACCATCTCTTGTGGTCTTGCCGGTCATCGGTGCTTCATCAGTCCACGCACCTCGCCGGCCACCACCTCCAACGACGCCGGAATTGCTAGGGCACAGTCTTGCGGCGCGGCGTAGAGGCAAACAGTGTGCGAGGCAGGCAAACAGGCGAGGCAAGCGATGCAGCCACAGGCTCGACATCGATCTGAGTCTGACTAACCTAGCGTGGCCCATGTAATAAAGAAATTAATGGATGAGCCTTAGGCGTTCTCGTTTGGCGTGAGTAAGCCCAAACCGCAAAAGCAACGCCTAAACTAGCCTAATTCATTAAGCTGTTGTATTTTTCCGTCTAGATCGTACGTATTCATGGATTGTGACCCCGGCCACTCGAAAATCCGCAGCGCTCGAGCCCGGGCACGTGCCCAGGGTGCCCGGACGGTGAAATCGCCCCTGGATGCGGCCAACACGCACAACCGAATACTTTGAGGAAGGAGTAATCTGGAGTTTCATGAAACAACACTTCTAGAGGAGACTTCATGTGAAGAA